GGCCCCCCCCATGCTACCCCTTTAAAACCATGCCCCAGGACCCTGCCCCCCCCATGCTCCCAAACCTGACCCCTTTAACCCGGGCCCTGCCCTCCCATGCTACCACCAGACACCATGACCCAGGATCGGGCCCCTCCCAAGCAAACCCAATTTACCCCATAAACCCGGACCTGCCCCCCAAAGCAATCACCTGCCCACCATACCCAAGACCTGCCCCCCCAAAGCTACCACCTGACACCATGCCCCCAGGCCCTTTTCCCCCCCTCCCATGCTACCACCTGACAAAAAGGGACCCAGGACCTGCCCTCCCATGCAACACCTAACCCCAAAGCCCCGGGAAGCTGCCCTCCCGTGCAAACCCCCCTGAAAACCTTTCCCCAAACCTGCCCTCCCCAAGTTTAATCACCTGCCCAAACCATGCCCCGGGAAACCCCTGCCCCCCATCTATCCCTGACCCCCTTTCCCCAGGACCTGCCCTCCCATGCTACCCCCGGACACCAGCCCCCGGCCCCTGCCCTCCCATGCTATCACCTGAAAAACCAAAGACCCAGGCCCTTTTCCCCTCCCTTTCTATCCCCCCTTTACACCTTCCCCCGGTCCTGCCCCCCCAAGCCCCAAACCTGAAAACCATGACCCAGGATCGGGCCCTCCCAGGGCTATCACCTGAAAACCCAAGCCCCAAAAGGGGACCTGCCCTCCCATCATCGCCTGACAAAATTAAACCCAAGCCCTGCCCCCCATGCTACCCCCTTTAAAAACCCATGACCCAGGACCTCCCCCCTTGCTATCCCCTGACACCATAAACCCAGGACCTGCCCTCCCTTTCATAAACCTGCCCACCATGACCCAGGACCTCCCTCCCATGTACCCCCTTTACACCATGACCCGGGGACCGGGCCCCCCCAAGCAAACACCTGAAAACCATACCCGGGGAACCTGCCCTCCCATGCAAATTCCGCCTGAAAACCATGACCCAAGCCCTTTCCCTTTCCACCATCTACCCACCTGAAAACCATGACCCGGGACCTGCCCCCCCATGCAAACCACCGGACACCATGCCCCGGGACCGGGCCCTCCCAGGGCTACCACCTGACCCCATGACCCGGGACCGCACCCCCATGCTACCACCTAAACACCATGCCCCAAAACCCTTTCCCTCCCAAGCTATCACCTGACACCATGACCCAGGCCCTGCCCCCCATCTATCACCTAAAACCCCATGACCCAGACCTGCATTTCCCGCCCCACCTGCCCACCAGGGCCCAGGGAGCTGCACAAACCCCGTTTTCAGTATTTTTAAATTTATTTTTAAAAGAAATCTTTCTTTTTTTCCGTGTGTTTCCCAAAAAACCATAGAAACCTTTAAAAAAAATTTATTAATAAATAATAAAAATAATAAGAAAAAATAAACAATAATAATAAAAAAATAAGGGGCAAAAACAAAAAAGCAGTATATGTAAACCTTTATTGACACGTTTCGCCCCACAGGGGGCTTTTTTCAAGTCAAAAACAGAAACCCCGGGGGGGGGGGAAGGGAAAACCGCGAGTTTTTTGGGCCCCGGCTGGGGTTTCAGGTGAAAAAATGTGCCCCGATGATTACCGAAGGGGGGTTATAGAGTCCAAAAATTTGGGGTACTTAAAAAGGAATTGGGTTTTTTGGGAAAACCCAGACCTTCAAAAAGTGTTCTTATTTGGGTAGCGATGAAGAAGTTTTTTTTTGGCAAGGGGTTTTCAGTTTATTTTTAAAAGAAGCCACTTTTCCGGTTTGAATTTTTCGGATATAGAAAAAATGTGTTTCCCAAAGGATTCTTGGGGTTATTGAGTTTGTTTTCTGTGGCGATAAGTCTTTAAAGTTTTTTGTATTTTTATTAAGTGAGGGTTTGAATTACGGTGTTGAAACGCAGGCATTCCTTGTGCGTCAGCCCTTTCCCTTGCGTTTTGGTTTTTCTAAATCGGTTTGGGGGTCCCTTGATTTTTTCGCCCACGTAAAAACATGTTGCAGCATTAAAAGGGGTTTAATGTATCCCCCCCTGCAGGGGATGGAGGCTTGCCCTTTCCTACTACTTGTGATTTTCCTTGATGGTCTTTGGTTGGGGGGGGGAAAGATACAGGGAATGATTTTTTTGGAAAAGGGGATTTTGGGAAAAACATTTTGGAAAATGGGGGTTGGGGGGAAAGGACAAAGAAACCTCTGGGCAGTGTCTTTTTCGGGGTGTTTTGAAGATGTTTAATGCCGCCGTCGGGCAGTCTCTGATGAAGTGACGAGGATATGGGGGTTTTAAAAAATATTTTTTCAAAATGGGCCCTTCCCCCAAAAGGGAAACCCTTTTGTTTTGCCAAAATCTGGGGTTCACGCGGAAAAAAGGGCCTAAAATTTTAAAACCATTTTGGGTTTTTTGGGTTTGTCGGGGTGAAAAGTAGAAGTGGAGAAGATCTTTTGTTGGTTTTTTTCCCGATAGATTTTAAAAACAAAGGGTTCGGGGTCAGTTTTTGCAGAGCAGGACATCAAGGAAAGGAAGAGTGTTGTCGACTTCTTCTTCAAGGTTTAGCAGAAGACACGACCATCAGGGTCACCACCGCTGATAAAGGAGGTGGTGTTGTTATCATGAACACTGACGATTACAGGAACAAAATGCTCAATCTACTTAATGACCCAGATACCTACAAACCTCTCACAACTAACCAAGTGGACAACCTTACTAAAACTTTTCTTCAAAGGACTCGCCGCATTCTGAGGAGCTCAGAACAAGGGAAGAAACTTCTGCACACCATGCCCAGCAACCCCAGACCTGCCAGAATGTACGGCCTGCCAAAGACTCACAAGCCTGGTATCCCACTGAGGCCCATATCCTCGGGAATAGGCAGTGCTCCCCACCAGCTCTCAGGAATTCTCGCCAAACACCTCTCTAAACTGAACATTAAAATGGTATAAAATACCGACAGGTTGTTAGGTAAGACACTGTTGCATATGTGTCTTACCTAACAACCTGTCGGTATTTTATACCATTTTAATGTTCAATCTGTCAGGACACTGCAACACAAGGGTATCTTGGTACAGACCTGCAATCAACTTCGACAACTTCCACTAGTGAGAGGGGCTGGGTTTGAGAGGGACCTAACCTTTCAACATCTGAGTTCTTACCTCTCCTAGTGGCCTACGTCTCACCTCCTGGCGCTATAAAAGCTCCATCCTGTCACTTCTTCTCCATATTGTTTCATACTATGGAACAATGCTCTTCTCCAGACTGAGGGACTGACCACCTCAAAACTTTAAGGGTGATGGACTGATTACATCGTCTTCAAGTATCTTCTGCTTCTATCAACTTTTCTGTACTTGACTGAAGAAGCCTACTGTGTAGGCGAAACGTTTCATAATAAAGATACCTAACTGTTGCATATGTGTCTTACCTAACAACCTCTCTAAACTCTTGGGCACTATCAGTCCAGCACATCTCAAACACTCAGGTGATCTTCTCAATCGCATTCGCAACATCAACATCAGGAACAGAAAAATTTCCAGCCTTGACGTGACTTCCCTAAATTCACCAAAGTACCTACTACACAACCATCGATCTCTTGCGCAGGAAAATTGACGATTCACTTGATCTTCCCTCCAGCCAGCGATTTCATCGACCTTGTTGAAAATATGTGTTGGCTTTAGTGTTTCTCTTTCGAAAATACCTCTTTCAGCAGACTTTTGGACTACCCATGGGTTCGCCACTCAGTGCAGTCCTTGGCGAACCTATACATGGGAAAATCTAGAAGCCGAACGTTTCTCCAACCATTATTCCTTCGTCTGTCACCTGGCTCCGTTATGTTGACGACATTCTCCTCATAACTCCTAAACGCTTCAACGTTCAAGCTCTCCAAGACAAGCTCAACCAGGTCGAACCTTCAATCCATTCACACTTGAAGAAGAAGTCGACAACACTCTTCCTTTCCTTGATGTCCTGCTCTGCAAAGCTGACCACGAACTTCGTTTTAAAGTCTATCGAAAACCCACCAACCAAAACGATCTTCTCCACTTCTACTCTCACCACGACACCAAAACCAAACGTGGTGTAATTATAGGCTTCTTCTGCGTGCACACAGAATCTGCAGCAACGAGTTCCTTGAGGAAGAATGCACTATAATTGAACAAATATTTTCTAAACTCCACTATCCTCGTCACTTCATAAGAGACTGCAGACGGCGAGCATAAACATCTTCAACACACCCAGAGAAGACACTGCCGAGAAGAGATACATAGTCCTTCCCACCAACTCCATTGCCAAACATGTTTCCAACATCTTTGCCAAAACATCATTCCAAGTATCTACCTCCACAACCACGACCATCAAGGACATCACAAGTAGTAGGCAGGACAAGCCTCCATCCTCTGCAGGGTATACATAATCCCTTGTAATGACTGCAACAAGTTATACGTGGCGAAACATCAAGGGACCTCCAAACACGTATTTCAGAACACCAATACGCAAGGCAGGTCTGACGACACAAGGAATGCCTGCGTACAACACCGTAATTCACACAACCACTTGATAAACTACAGAAACTCAAGACTTATCGCCACAGAAGACAACACTCAATACCGAAGAATCCTGGAATCATCACTTATTTCTATATCCGACAACTCTCAACCAGAATAGTGGCTTCTATAACATAGCTGAACCACTTGCCAAGAAACTTCTTCATCGCTATCCCACATAAGAACACTGTAGAAGGTCTGCTCACAAACTTATCCAATCTCCTTTCTAAGCTACCCAAGTTTTTAGACTCTATAACCCCACTCGGTACATCATCAGATGCAGCATTCTTCACCTGACCTCAGCCGGACTATAAATACTCGCGTTCCTTCCACCCCAGGTAGTTCTGTTTGTGACTTGAAAAAGCCCACTGTGTGGGCGAAACGTAGTCAATAAAGGATCACATTATACTGCATTTGTGTTTATATTGCCATTGTGTCGGTATTTTATACCATTTATTTCCAATAATAATTATACTTGAGTAAAATGAGTGACTCACCGTCTTACCGTTGAGGTTGGCAGCGTGCTGGAGGATGAGTCTGGCTTCAGCAGTCCTGCCCTGGCTGATGAGCCACCGACTTGACTCTGGGATGAGCCTGGAGTCAACAAGATCTCATCTTACTACACTATGTTATTCATTACCACACCAACATAGCTATATACTCAGATATAAACTGCTATACTCCAGCAGGACATGTGCTGGCGTGAAATGATCTCCAACCCGTCGTGAAAAATAAAAAACTGCAAGAGACGTGTTTGTTCGTGTCTACACACACATGAACACAACAGACAATGTCATGGTGTCTGCTATTTAAGTTCCTTAATACTACTACTACTACTACTACTACTACTACTAATATATTTATTTACTACAAGTACATGTACAAGGTATACAGTCCTAGTTAACATCAGTGACATACTACTATATAGAAAGTCACTTGTTATGCTGAACATTTCGGGCAGATTTGTCCCAGGATGCGACCCACACCAGTCGACTAGCATCCAGGTTTATATTTTACTGATGGGTGAACATAGACAATCAGTATAAGGAAACACGTCCAGTGTTTTCACACTTGCTGGGAATCGAACCCTGACCCTCAGAGTGCCAAGTGAGAAATTTCTTCATCAGGCCGCGGGAAACACTACAAGTTAAGGAATAAAACTGGAGTCACAGGTACAGAAACTGGACCAAACTTTACTAAACAAAATAACAAGTCTGGCGAGGTTCCAGCAGCCACACTTAACACACTCACACATTATTATAACAAAATCTCAATATAGAACTTTTGCCTGCTGTTAAAACACAACAAGATAGACAACAATTACCGTTAAAAAACGGTTATAAATAAATGGTAAAGAAGGCCAAAATAAAAATTAAAAGAATAATTATTATAATGGACCTACACAAAATAAATTATTTAATATTACTCTGGAAAATATTTTAAATTTGTTTACTTTGTTTTAAATATAGTAATATTATATAGTAATATGATATAGTAATATAATATTGTAATATAATATAGTAATATTATATAGTAATATAATATAGTAATATAATATAGTTATATAACACTGGGAGATTTACCGAAAGAAAGTGTGTATTTATGTCTAATACTGTGACGTAACACGATCTTATATCTGGTGACGTAACATGACTTATATCTGGTGACGTAACACGATCTTATAATCTGGTGACGTAACACGATCTTATATCTGGTGACGTAACATGATCTTATATCTGGTGACGTAACACGATCTTATATCTGGTGACGTAACACGATCTTATATCTGGTGACGTAACATGATCTTATATCTGGTGACGTAACACGATCTTATATCTGGTGACGTAACACGATCTTATATCTGGTGACGTAACATGATTCTTATATCTGGTGACGTAACACGATCTTATATCTGGTGACGTAACACGATCTTATATCTGGTGACGTAACAGATCTATATCTGGTGACGTAACACGATCTTATATCTGGTGACGTAACATGATCTAATATCTGGTGACGTAACACGATCTTATATCTGGTGACGTAACACGATCTTATATCTGTGACGTAACACGATCTTATATCTGGTGACGTAACAGATCTTATATCTGGTGACGTAACATGATCTAATATCTGGTGACGTAACACGATCTAATATCTGGTGACGTAACATGATCTTATATCTGGTGACGTAACATGATCTTATATCTGGTGACGTAACACGATCTTAAATCTGGTGACGTAACACGATCTTATACTGTGACGTAACATGATCTTATATCTGGTGACGTAACATGATCTAATATCTGGTGACGTAACACGATCTAATATCTGGTGACGTAACACGATCTTATATCTGGTGACGTAACATGATCTAATATCTGGTGACGTAACACGATCTAATATCTGGTGACGTAACACGATCTAATATCTGGTGACGTAACACGATCTTATATCTGGTGACGTAACACGATCTAATATCTGGTGACGTAACACGATCTTATATCTGGTGACGTAACACGATCTTATATCTGGTGACGTAACATGATCTTATATCTGGTGACGTAACATGATCTTATATCTGGTGACGTAACACGATCTATAATCTGGTGACGTAACACGATCTTATAATCTGGTGACGTAACATGATCTTAATCTGGTGACGTAACATGATCTAATATCTGGTGACGTAACACGATCTAATATCTGGTGACGTAACACGATCTTATATCTGGTTGACGTAACATGATCTAATATCTGTGTACGTAACACGATCTAATATCTGGTGACGTAACACGATCTAATATCTGGTGACGTAACACGATCTTATATCTGGTGACGTAACACGATCTAATATCTGGTGACGTAACATGATCTAATATCTGGTGACGTAACACGATCTAATATCTGGTGACGTAACACGATCTTATATCTGGTGACGTAACACGATCTTATATCTGGTGACGTAACACGATCTAATATCTGGTGACGTAACACGATCTTATATCTGGTGACGTAACACGATCTAATATCTGGTGACGTAACACGATCTAATATCTGGTGACGTAACACGATCTAATATCTGGTGACGTAACACGATCTTATATCTGGTGACGTAACATGATCTAATATCTGGTCACGTAACACGATCTAATATCTGGTGACGTAACACGATCTAATATCTGGTGACGTAACACGATCTAATATCTGGTGACGTAACACAATCTAATATCTGGTGACGCAACACGATCTAATATCTGGTGACGTAACACGATCTAATATCTGGTGACGTAACACGATCTAATATCTGGTGACGCAACACGATCTTAATATCTGGTGACGTAACACGATCTAATATCTAGTGACGTAACACGATCTAATATCTGGTGACGTAACACGATCTAATATCTGGTGACGTAACACGATCTAATATCTGGTGACGTAACACGATCTTATATCTGGTGACGTAACACGATCTATAATCTGGTGACGTAACACGATCTTATATACTGGTGACGTAACACGATCTTAATATCTGGTGACGTAACACGATCTTATATCTGGTGACGTAACACGATCTAATATCTGGTGGACGTAACACGATCTAGTATCTGTTGACGTAACACGATCTAATACTGGTGACGTAACACGATCTTATATCTGGTGACGTAACAACGATCTTATATCTGGTGACGTAACACGATCTTATATCTGGTGACGTAACACGATCTTATATCTGGTGACGTAACACGATCTTATATCTGGTGACGTAACACGATCTAATATCTTGGTGGACGTACACACGATCTAATATCTGGTGACGTAACACGATCTATATCTGGTGACGTAACACGATCTAATATCTGGTGACGTAACACGATCTAATATCTGGTGACGTAACACGATTCTAATATCTGGTGACGTAACACGATCTTATATCTGGTGACGTAACACGATCTTATATCTGGTGAGGTAACACGATCTTATATCTGGTGACGTAACACGATCTTATATCTGGTGACGTAACACGATCTTATATCTTTTGACGTAACACGATCTAATATCTGGTGACGTAACACGATCTAATATCTGGTGACGTAACACGATCTAATATCTGGTGACGTAACACGATCTTATATCTGGTGACGTAACACAAATCTTATATCTGTGACGTAACACGATCTTATATCTGGTGACGTAACACGATCTTATATCTGGTGACGTAACACGAGTCTAAATATCATGGTGACGTAACACGATCTAATATCTGGTGACGTAAACACGATCTAATAATCTGGTGACGTAACACGATCTAAATATCTGGTGACGTAACACGATCTATATATCTGGTGACGTAACACGATCTAATATCTGGTGACGTAACACGATCTAATATCTGGTGACGTAACACGATCTAATATCTGGTGACGTAACACGATCTAATATCTGGTGACGTAACACGATCTAATATCTGGTGACATAACACGATCTAATATTCTGGTGACGTAACACGATCTAATATCTGGTGACGTAACATGATCTAATATCTGGTGACGTAACACGATCTAATATCTGGTGACGTAACACGATCTTATATCTGGTGACGTAACCACGATCTTAAATCTGGTGACGTAACACGATCTAATATCTGGTGACGTAACACGATCTAATATCTGGTGACGTAACACATCTAATATCTGGTGACGTAACACGATCTAATATCTGGTGACGTAACACGATCTAATATCTGGTGACGTAACACGATCTAATATCTGGTGACGTAACACGATCTTATATCTGGTGACGTAACACGATCTAATATCTGGTGACGTAACACGATCTAATATCTGGTGACGTAACACGATCTAATATCTGGTGACGTAACACGATCTAATATCTGGTGACGTAACACGATCTAATATCTGGTGACGTAACACGATCTAATATCTGGTGACGTAACATGATCTAATATCTGGTGACGTAACACGATCTTATATCTGGTGACGTAACACGATCTAATATCTGGTGACGTAACACGATCTAATATCTGGTGACGTAACACGATCTAATATCTGGTGACGTAACACGATCTAATATCTGGTGACGTAACACGATCTAATATCTGGTGACGTAACACGATCTAATATCTGGTGACGTAACACGATCTAATATCTGGTGACGTAACACGATCAAATATCTGGTGACGTAACACGATCTAATATCTGGTGACGTAACACGATCTAATATCTGGTGACGTAACACGATCTAATATCTGGTGACGTAACACGATCTAATATCTGGTGACGTAACACGATCTAATATCTGGTGACGTAACACGATCTAATATCTGGTGACGTAACACGATCTAATATCTGGTGACGTAACACGATCTAATATCTGGTGACGTAACACGATCTAATATCTGGTGACGTAACACGATCTAATATCTGGTGACGTAACACGATCTAATATCTGGTGACGTAACACGATCTAATATCTGGTGACGTAACACGATCTAATTCTGGTGACGTAACACGATCTTATATCTGGTGACGTAACACGATCTAATAATCTGGTGACGTAACACGATCTAA